TAAAGATACAAGTTTAAAACCCTACCATATGACAAAAGGGACATTATTCAAGCAGAAAACACATTTCACACTTTCATTGATCATTTTGAAGCATTTTTAACTGTTCAACAGTTCAGGGGTATGTAACCTACACCAACAGTTAGAGGGGGCCTCTTATGGAAGAAAGTTGCCCCTGTGACCAGGAATCTGATGACCCCTTCATCAAATATCTTTAAAAAATCAAAAGAAAATCCAATATTCAATGTTTTGAGCCATATATCATTAGAATTGGTCCATGATTTATGACGATATTGACCTTTCAAGATCATATAGGGGTATGTTCATGATTTCACTGGAAAATGTTTTCGTCTGTGGAAGCTTAGCACATCTCTTTGGATCACAATAACTTTGCAACTAACAAATGTAGGATGCTAGTTTTAAGCCATAATGTACAGGATTCAAAATTGAACACAGAAAATATTAGTTCCTTAAGACTGCAGCTTAAAAAATTCTCAGGGGAAAGGTGTTAAAGGGTTGAATAATCGCAGATGTTGAAAATCACAATTTGTCCATTTTCAGTAATGTTTGGTTAGGGCTTATAATTTCTGCAAATTTCAAGACTAAGAAAAATGTATGGTACCAACATAAATTTTAGACATTCCTCTACAACATTTTTTATTTTTATTTATTTATTGGAATCACTTTTAAAACAGTGGCACACACATTGAAAATGTGGTGCATCCACATACAAACATGCTTATACAATTACAGTCAAAATTAAAATACATAATGTCACTAAAATACATCAATCCTTATTATAGGGAATATAAATTGCTTTCAGATATTTCTTTACACATTGATCTAAAATATGACCTTGTTCATTTCCCCAGTCAATGAAAGCTTTATCACCCATGGTCAAGCATATTTTAATTGGAATTTTAGCAGAAATAAGGCTAGATGACAGTTGTTCATTACAGGAGTTTATCACGTTCAGAAAGAAGTTAGTTCTTTCATCATTAAAATGAGGACATACAAACATACGATGCTGGATAGAGTCCTTGACATTCGTGTCACATAAATGACATGTGAAAATATAAAAGAATTCCTGCAAGTAATAAGGGAAATATGGCCAGTTGCAGGGGTTCACTTTTTTTGGACCACCCTGTACTTCTACAATTATATAAACATGAAATAAGATGCAGGGGCGTAGCCAGCTTTAAGTCAGGGGTGTGCGATCGCCAAAAAATTGATTTTCAGTCAGAGGTGGTGCGATCGTGGCGCAAGGAAGCCAAAAAAGATGTTTTTAAGTCTGTTATGAATTTTACAAAAATTGGTGTAACTTCCTTCAAAATTGAGCTAGACGCTTCAAATAAAAAGCATTTTAAACCGCTTTTCTTAATTCATCTATCTCATAGTTCTATTCTTATTGATAATGAGGGGGGGGGGTGGTGCGATTGCACCCATCGCACCTCCCCCCTCGGCTACGCCTATGCGATGCATCAATCAATTCAAACGAATACATATTTCATTACATATAATTATGCACATTCACAATACTAATCAGTGGTCCTCAATTTGTTCATTTAAACCAATCATAATCGTATAATCTATCAAATATAACGTATAATATATATTAGAGGAAGCGCGGTTGTTAATAATGATATAGAATGTGGGTTTTGGTCAGAGTTTTATTCCATGTTATTTTTTTTTTTTTTTTATTTATTTGCCAAACACTTTTTAATCAGTGGCACAATGGAAAATTCCAGTGCGGCAGTACATAGAACAAATACATATTCATAAAATACAATACAATACAGATAGATAAAATAAATATGTTAAATTGTACATATGTTATGAGTTTAAAATATCGTTATTAATAGTCACTAAAAATTGTTTGACACACTTGTCAAACAAGAATCCTTGGTCTTTGCCCCAAATACTAAAAACAACATCTCCTAGGCACCACTTTAATTTTTCATTTAAAGGAAGCGTTAAGAACATATTAAATACATCAGGGGAGCATGAGGTTTTAATTCTGTTGTAAAAATCAATCCTTTCACGTTGGTTGTGACTACATGTAAAAAATCTGTGTGTTAAATCATCAATTGGATGAAGGGAACAAAGTTTGCAAAAACCATCATCGCATTTTCTTCTTTTGAGGTCAGTTCCAATACCTAAACACCCAGTTCTGGCTTTGAACTTCAATCTCTGTCCAACAAAATCATTACTTGAAGTAAGGTAATTCTCCAGAAATGGGGTTTGTTTGATTGATTCATAAAATTCTAGTGAAGATTTCGAGGAACATTCAGATAGAAAATTACTTTTGTGTTGTTGGGAGGATATGGTCAAAAAAGAATCATACCATTCATTGTCATCTCTAAACACAACATCATCAAGGCCATGTTCAATTAAAATGTCTTGTATGTTTTCAAAATATGGCCAACATGTTTTTACTCTTCCCTTGAAATTTTCAAACAGTTTATCAAAAATTGCCTTATGTAGGCCGTTCTTCATGGAGAACTTAAGATATAAAAAATAATCAATTTGTCTTTTCTGAATAATGTTAATAATGCTTCTCCAGCCAAGGTCACCTAACATTGCTGCTTTGGCAGGGTTACATTTAAGTTGAAAAATTGATTTGGCCAATTTATATTGCATTGAAGAAAGGGTCTTTTCAGAGGTCTTGTCAAGAATTAGAACACCACATCCATGCAACAAAGCAGGGCGGTACTGGGAGTAGTATAATGTATTACCAAATGATATTCTATTATAGTTAATATGCTTAGTTAGGGTTGATGCAACTAGATTTCTTAGCTTCTTATCCTTTTCTTTTAAAACAACATTCACGTGGTAGTTATCTCTTAATTGCCTATTTAGATGGATGCCAAGATATTTGTAAGTATCAACTTCTTTGATTTCAAGGTCACCTAATACCCAAGTTTTATTTTTATCTATTCGCTTGCCAATAACCATTACTTTAGATTTATTGGGGTCGAATTTGAATCCCCAGCAAGAACCAAACTGATCTGCAATTTTTAGCATATGATTCAGTTGGCTCTCACTTTCGGCCATAAGAACAATGTCATCAGCAAAAAGAAATGTTGGGACTTTAATGTTATTAAATGGAATACCAAGGTTTTCTTTATTCAGTCTATCAACTAAGTCAGTCATGACTAGTGAGAATAGGGATGGGGATAAACAACAGCCCTGCTTTAAACCAGAAGTACTAGAATACCATGGAGAGGTAAAATTACCAAAAATAACTTTATTACAAACATCCCTGTAAGCCTCATGGAGCAACCGTCATATTTTTCCTTGAATACCCATTTCCCAAAGTTTCACAAATAACATATTGCGGTCAATAACATCAAAGGCCTTAGAAATATCCAAAAATGATAAAAATGTATTTTTCTTAGAGGATTTACGAAGTGAGCATAAACCTTTTAGAGCAAAAATGTGGTTTTCAAGTCTAAGATTTTCCCTGAAAGCTCCCTGGGAATCACCAAGAAGGTCACATGACTCTGAGTTAAGTTTAATTTTACTATCAAGTAGACTAGTATAAATTTTATAAACATTGGAATTCATGGTGAGACCTCTGTAATTATTTAAGTCAATGTTTAAACCTCGTTTGAATAATGGAACAAGTAATCCTTCTTTCCATTCTGTAGGCATAACTTCTAGGGATTTTACTTTGTTAAAAAGGTCAAAAAGGGAAGAAAACATTGTATTTCCCCCGTATTTAAGAAATTCATTAGGTATATTATCCGTACCACACTTCTTGCCATTATTAAGCTTTCTGAGACATTGCACAAGTTCAGCATATGTAAAGCAGAAGCTGTTTAAGGCATTATTATCATAGTTAGTTTCCTTTAATAAAGAATCTATCTTATCTGATAGATTATTGGAGGTAAACTTTGGATTACGATTATTACGCCCCACCCTTTCCCAATACAAATGTAGAGCCTCAGATATGGCTTTGGGGTCAGTTAAGATCATATCTTTGTTGTTAGGGTCTTGGATTTGAATGGGATATCCATTATTTTCATTGAACATTTTCAATTTTTTCCAGTAGGATCTTGAACATTTAGAAAGTGACCTAGCATTACTAGTTAAAACTTTGATGTGATTCTTTACATGTGATTCAACTATTTTCAACTGAACTTGTTTTTTACGTTCGAGGTATAAGTTCCAAATTTCTCGAAGTATGTCAGGGTCAGCTGACTTTGAACGACTCCAATATCGGTAGAAGCGTGATGCTTCTTTACGATTATTTATTAATAATTTAATTTCTTTATCCCAAAATGAACGATGGTTCGTTGGTACCCACTTAATCCCAACCCCTATATGAGCAGCCTTCATTATATTCTCTTTGAATGAGGACCATGCATCTTCAATGTTACTGCACTTGGAAATGTCCCAGGAACTAAATTCAGTATTAATGGCGTTTCTGAAGCAATCCCAATCTGTGTTATCATTAATGTTCCAAATTACAGTATCTTCATCTTTATTATCAGGAGGAACATTGGTCTTAAGGTTACCTGACTGAGAGGGCAGTATAGCATTTATAATCATAAAAGAGTGGTCACTACCTAAACTTGCCTCTTCGTGGGTTTCATCAATAATCATATTTTGGTACACCTTCATAAAATTATGGTTACCGAAGCAATAGTCAATGGATGAATGTTGAGTTCCCCTTGACCATGTTATCTCACCCTGACAGTTAATAGAGTTTAACATGTGCATGCCTGTGACATCACTGAAAAGATCGATAAGTTTACCATTTTGGCTGCTTTGCCCTTTACAGAATTTGGTTGCCTTCCCATTAAAATCACCCATCAATAAAGTATATGTGTCATCTGATTCAACCTCCGCAACATTAGAGATCAACTCATCCATTAACTTTTCGCTTAATATTGAATTTTTTCCATCTACGGGAAAGTAAGTAACTCCAAGATTAAGAACATTATTATTAATTTTAACACGAATCCATAATCTTTCTAGGTCATCACAACTCGAGTGAAGTAAATCATTGTCAAGGATTACTATTCCTTTCTTAACAAAGAATCCTACACCACCACCTTTTTTACCAACTCTGTTTTTAGGGATCCACACATAGTTATCATTTAAAATTGAAAGCGTGTTAGTGTCATCAAAAAAAGTTTCAGCAATAGCAACAATATCATAGCTACATTTAGATAAAGTCTGGTTGAGCTCATGCTGTTTAGCAAGGCCAAAGTGGCATACATTATTAAAAGCAAAGGTCATTTGAGTGGAGCTGGTATAGATCTTTCTTCTTCCCCGACGAGTTTTGCGATTACGTTGGTGAATGACAGGTTCAGGAGTGGGCGGAGATATTGTAAATGAGTCAGATGGGACGAAGGCAGAAACATTGCCTAAAGCCTATTGTGGCCAGCGCTGTCCAAACTGTCCATTAACAAAATTAGGGTGGTTTAAGTTTTGTGTGAATGGGCACCTTGCTTTCTTATGTCCAAAATTGGAACAGGAGTGGCAGCGTATGGAATTTGTGTGCCAACAAGAATTGGCAAGGTGACTCCTTTCTCCGCATTTAAAACAGGCTGGTGAAATGTTACGTGAAATATCATGGGAGGGGGGCTGGGCACGTTGGTCACGTCCGGGGGGCTGTTGTTGCTGCAAATAGGGGACATGAATATCGTTGCTGGTAGGTTTGTGTTGGGCTGTATCCTGCGATGAGCGTTGCAAGTTACGTTGCTGTTGACGGGCACGGTTGTTTTTTGTAACATCTCGTGTCTTACAGCCGAGTCCCATGTTACGTGCCAATTTATTAGATCCTGGCTTTGATAAGTGAAGACCGTCAGACCAGAGATAACCTTCATTTATTTCTCCACTCTGTAGTTTAAAGCCATTTGTGTCATTGTTGATGAACTCGATCTTTTCCTCCTCGCATAGGATCTGTAGCCCAGCATTAAGGGCATCGGCGGTATTCTGAGCCAATTCTTTGTCGGTTCGAGGGCAAATGCTAGAAACGGCAACAGTGGTAGCAATGTTCTTGGCACCCTTAATAGCTAATTGGTATTTGGCTTTGATCGAGGCCTTATCTGATGATTTTGCACAGTCTTTACTTCCTACTTGAAGAATAGCCTTTTGGTACTTGGTGTCTAAATTAGTGAGTCGCTTATGGACCATATCAATGTCTGCCCCACCAATAGAAATAACTTCAACATCATTGAGTTTATCTTGATCGAGGTCACGAACGATAGAACTTCCAATCACCAGCGTTTTTGAAGCATTTTTGGGGTGGGGTTTGACAGGTTCATTTTGGGATTTGTTCATTTTATGCCAGTTAAGGGTTTCACGAAGGCTTTTACACTCTTTTTCAAGTTCATTGCAGGTTGCAGTTTTTGCAGATAGTTGTTTTACAAGATCGAGATTCGTAGTGTTTATTGCACTCACTGTGCTCTGCAAAGCATCAACCTTGGCTGTGGTGTTATCAACTGCCACCTTAAGGTCTTGTATGATAGCTACTAGGTTGCGAGTGTTTATATCAGAGTCATATTTGGAAGTACAGCGAGTATGTAATTTATTGGACTTAGGAAGCTTTGGGGTCTTAGGGGCCGTCCTACACGCTCGAACAGGACGTTTACGCTTCGCTCCTGAGTCTGAGTTGAAAGTACCATTAAGATCCAAAGGCAATGTGTTTTTGCCTAGACGTTTACTTCTGCGTTTATGGACAGACCTTTGAGTGTCATTCTGTGAAGGTGAAGCAAGATTAGTTGAGCAGGTTGGTTCTCTTGGAGTCAAAGCACGAGCTTGAGATGCCGCCTGAGAACACTGAGACTGTTCAGGAGAGTTGTTGATAGTCAGGTTTAAGGTCAGAATATCAGCTGATTCAGGTGACCCCTGACTTTCTTTATAAAAAGAATCAGGTGATCCAATAAGCAAGCCAATATCAGTTCCAACTTCTGAGGGTTGAGGGCTAGCCATGGTCATAGGCAGCTAATATGCACATTAACACCTTCTAGTTCTTTAAGTGCTAAAAACTTAATTACATCAATGCAGTTCAATACTGTATTTTTGTGTAAGTCTGAAATATTTTCCTCAATTTATCTGAAATAATATCCATCAAATGTCATTTAGACACTTGAAATATCACAAAAATAATTGTATATCCAGATTCCTGATGTATTCACGAATCCTGCGGTACTAAAATATTGATTCTTTTTGTTCTTGTTCCTCATAAATCAGTCCTATTTCACAGAGCAAAATAATTCCTGTCAACTGTGTTTGACTGTATTGTGGCATTGTTTTATTGTAGTAAACGAGCACTTCAAATTCTGTTCTTTAATGAAAAAACGAATATTACGATTTGTCTTAAGCCTCCATTAAACAATTTGAAAGATAAGGGCGTCAGCTTTGGGGTCATGGAACGCTTTCGGAGGTTACAAAATGGCCCAATTAACTATTTCCTCTCCAGGGGAAAAATTAAGTGAATTACTACTTTATTATATTTTGAAAGGAAAACAAAAATACATGATTTTAACCACTGTTATCTAAATTAATAGTCGTTAATAATAAGTTCGTATTCCTCAACCACTATTTGATATTTGTAAAATATCTTCAACAAGCACTCTCAATTTTATTGGGAGAGCGGGTTGGTATAAAGAAATTATGAATTATATATTTTTTCAAAATAATCTTACAAAGTTTAGTTGTCTTTATTTATAACATTTCTAAGTAATACAATTACAAAATATGTACAAACTGTTGATTGAATTTGTTCCATAGATTATTACTTTTATTCCTACGATTATATTTGTGACAAAAATATTTTGGTTAGACAAATAGGCATAGCACCCTGTTCGTGAAAGTATCTATTCAACTTTGTAACTAGCAGACTTCCAAACGATGATCCTTGTCCTGACATATTCTCTTTCTAATGGTATATTCAAATCCCGGTACAAATTGTGTCATTCTTGTGACCCTAATTTAGATTTGTGTTCAGCACAACTGCCAATTGTGTAAGCCTAATACCAAAAATAACTTGGAAAACACAGTAGTATAGGGGACAAAAAATTAATGAGACGATACTAGCATAATAGAGACTAAAACTATAAGATGTGTAATTGTATTTATTAGGTAAATTGCACGGAGTTCTTATTTACAACACTTAAAATCCTTACATGCTACTATATTTATTGTACGGTCTATTTATTTACAAATATAATATCACACGATTCTTATTCATCATATTTACAATGTCTATTTATACATGGTATTAAATATACATTTTATGGGCAATCCAGACTTGTATTACGTGTTTTATTTGACATTAAATACAAAGCTATCCTTCATCTTCATTCATGGACTATGTGAATATATATTGAATTATTATTACATATATTTATATTAAATTGAAATTAGAGCTACGTGGATACCCTATTTTTATCTCAAGCTATGTAAAAGTGTTTAATAATACACTATAAAGTTCGGATAAGAAGGACGATGTCTATAAGTGATTTCAAAAGTTCTACAGACAACTAATTAGAAAAAGTGAGGTAAAGTAATATCTTGATTGAAAAGTCTGAAATTCTATTTGTAGTTTCCCATTTCAATACAATTTGTTTGTCATCAGGCATTTTCCCTCTCTTTCTTTGTTAATATCAAGGAAATACATTATTGATACATTCATTTATATAGTTATTACGTTTGTCACATTTCATGTGAAATAGACCGAGTTTGTAAAACTTGCAAAGTTTTTCCAATAATCAAAATTACTATGGTGGTCATAAATAGTGATTCCTTTTCTGGGATAGTTCTTATAGCTGCATTACATAAGTCTCTATCATTACAGCAAGTTCGTCTAATACACCCTGGATTTAGTTTAATGCCCTCTGTGCAATTAAGAAAGTCGTTCTGAGGCTCGCATTGTCCCGAAGAGCAGCTCCTTACTGTGGAATCATAATCTCTCTTGTCGATCAAACTATGGACCTCATAGTACACTTTCTGGAAAATAGGGATACAAAGTTAATTTATGTAGTCTCGATATATGTATGCAATGAATCGTACATCCAACATTTGTTAATATTATTGGTACTATAGACAGGCCCTTATTAGGCAGGGGAGTTCGACCCCCTCCAATGGCTAATTCTTTCAAAATCACGCAGTTTTCAAAATTTTCGGACTTTTGAGTGATATTCGACCAAAATTGTCGAACCCTGGATATTTTCATAAAAGGAACTTAATTTTTCCATGTGGATCGCCGAGTCATTTCACATTTTTAAATTGATACCTTCAAATAGATATTTAAATCTAGTGATAACGGTGACACATTGCATACACTAATAACTAGGCCTGGAGTTACCTTTACACAAACGTGTTGATGTAACACTTGGAAGTAATAAATTGCAATTAGCCATGCAATGAAACGGTCCACATATAACATATCAGCAATAAATGACAACATTGTATCCGATACATTTCATGATTGTTCAGACTTTGTGTGTAATATAGCTCATTATGGTTTTGTGAGGTGATGCAAGCCGGAAGGTATCAACTATTTTAAGGAAAACATCGATCTATTGTGCATTGTATGGAGCTCGGACATTGATCTTTTGTAATATATTTTGCTTCAAAAAGTGCTTGTATTATAGAAATCCAGAATATATTTGCTGCAAAGAATGAGGTTTTCTAACATTCTGTATATATGAATAAATTCTAGTATTAACTATTTTTATATCAAGAGTATTGGAAAGATTTATGTATGTTTTTTTCAACATCTATTAAATATCAATTAATGGTTCATGGTCTTTTGGTTTTGGATAGTGATGCTGTAATAACTTCTGATACGAGAAACGGCTGGTTCGACATTGTTTCCTTGTTATAGCATATTTTGGGATATTGGGGCTTTTTTCTTGAGTGCTTGTCATGTTAGATGGTTCTTTTTGCAGCTTTGAGTTTTAATACTCAATGATAATGTTATTAAGTTAACAAAGGCATACTTTTGTATTTATATCAATATCAAGGAAATTGAAATAAATAAACTGAAAAATTAAAAAAAAAAAATACTCAATGACCTGTCCTGAGTGGCACTTGTGCACGTGTATCATATATGTAAACGGGAGGCACAATATTTTCACATTTCAATTAAAGACAATGTTTCACAGAGGTTTAGATAGACCAAAATGCTGCTGGTAAATGCTAGTCCAGAGTTTTCCAAATAAGATTTACAATAATCTACATGTTTAACTGAGTTAAAGCTTCCTCTATAATTAATTATCATCAAAATAGTGTAGCAGTGATGCTACAAACAATCCACAAAACATGCTGAGGTTATTTGATTAGTAATCCCAGTAATGTAAAAACCTGTGATTAGTAAACATATTACGTCAACTTGAATGTAGGCGTTGATGTAATTCTTCTTCATGAGGCATCGATAGGTACATTTATATAAATCAATCAAGTTTATGTCAGCAATAATTTTTGTAATTATTCAGCACAATGGAAAGGAATATAAACAGAACTTGGTTGAACAATTGAGATGCGGATGTGATGTGATTGAATCGGAGTGTTAAGTTTATAACGTAATGTTGAACAATAAATGAATGAAAAGAGAGTGGCTCGGAACCAACCGTATTTCTGGATATCATTACACATAACCTATATTTAACATTTCGACTCAAATAATGTTATGTCAGTCCGTTCGTCCGTCCGTCCGATCGTCCGTCTGTCCGGGCAATAACTCAAACACCAATTGACGGATTTGATTCAAATTTTATGGGCTTATGCCTTATGTGTGTAGGACCTCTGCTTGAGAAGGAATTTTCAATATGGCCGCTTAATTCAAAATGGGCGCCATTTTCGGAAAAATATAATCTATGATAACTCAATTACTAGTGGACAGATTTGATTCCCATTTTATATGCTGATAAGAATAGATAGATAAGAATATGCTGATAAGAATACATTTTCAGGATGGCTGCTGATTTTCAAAATGACCGCCATTTTTCATTGGAAAACGTAATCTTTGATAACTCAAATACTAGCAAACGGATTTCATCCAATTTTTATGCTGATGCCTAGGGACACAGTTGCTCTGTTCGAGAAAAAATGTTCAAGATGGCGGCTGAATTGGCCACCATTTAAATTTTTTATTAAAAACGAAATATTTGATAACTCAAAAACCAATGAATGGATTTAGTTCACATTTTATATGCTGAAGCCAAGGGACACTGTTGCTCTGTTCGATAATAAATTTTCAAGATGGCATCTGAATTTCAAAATGGTCGCCACTTTTCCCAAAATAACGTAATATTTCAGAACTCAAATACCAGTGAACGGATTTGGTTCAAATTTTATATGCTGATGTTTAGGGACATAGTAGCCCTGTTCGATAATCAATTTTCAAGATGGCAGTTAAATTTCAAAATGGCTGCCATTTTTTGTAAAAGACATTATACCAGTGAACGGATTTGGTTCAAATTTTATATGCTGCTACCTAGGGACAAAAGAGATCTACTTAAGAAATTTTCAAGATGGCAGCTATATTTTAAAATGGCCACCATTTTTCGTAAACAAAATCGTGGCTGTTTTCCAAAATGGCCACCACTTTTTGTAAAAAAAATGTAATCTCAAATACCAGTGAACGGATTTGCTTTCAATTTCAGAAGCTGATATGCTCTGTTCAAGGTGGAACTTTCAAGATGGCCACTAATTATCAAAATGTGTTTTGTTCGGTGGGATTTGCTGCTCCGTGGGGTTGCTGTTTTTTCTAGTTATGTTATGCTATGTAATGTTATGTTATGTTATGTTATTATGTTGCTATGTTATGTTATGTTATGTAAATATAATGTATATTTCTGCAGATGGCCAAGAGGAAAAACTCAAAAAGTATTAAAACAGTTTAAGAGTGCAGCTGTTTATTAGAAAGCAAAGATCTACCCCCCCCCCACCAATCAATGACCTAATGTACAAGGAAACAAGACTCCCCTTCTTTTATCATTTAATTAGTTGAGCTGTTTTCTGTTTTTTGGTTGGTTATATTGGATGCAATAAATTCTCAATCAAGACAGAGTTGTGGGAAAGAAGGATGCCAAAGATGGATGGTGGTCTTGACTGGTTACAAATTGACTTTAAGGACACGTCATTTATCGTTAAGACTTGTGTTACACTTCAATCTTCGTTTAGGATAGGACTGTCTTGAACCAAAGTAGGTATTTCAATCAATCTAATTTACACTCATTCAGACCGTCATACGAACTTCAATCTCCTAATACGTAGATATCAACAAACTGCAGTGACTGTAGAATAACATTGGTCTAAGATAAGGCTAAATGATAAATGAATCGCAAATTGACTGCATGTACATGAAGGTGACAACTTGTAAGTCTACAATCGTTCTTCGAAAATCAGATGTGAATAATATTTTTTCTTGGATTTTTGATTGATCTGTTGATAGAATGATTGCGTTTACAAAATCTCAAATTTGAAATGGTCCAGATAATTAGTCTAAAGAAAATGTCCAGTCTAAAAATGAGCAGAGTGTTCCGCTCTCTGGTTTAGGCTAATGTTTAGTCCTTGGAAAGCTTTTTGGAAACTGATGAATGCAGGTCGGTTATCATTTGCTGGGGTCTTCTTAAATGGGTTTGAGGATCCGTGTTATTTCTTTAAGGATCTGGTGCCACGTATACATATTCTGTTCACAAACTAACTTTTATGATTTTTCCTTGCACAATGGCATGTTGTAGCCTGTGTCACATGGCGAAATGTGTGGCTGGTGATGAACCTTTGGAAACGGCTCCAAGGAAAAAAGACAAACAGCGTCTGTGTGTAAAATCTGATATCCTGTCGTCTTTCCATTTTCTACTTCATTCCCGTCCACCCGACGACCCCCTGGTCCATCATACACATCGCTTTGACTTGTCGTTCTTATTTTCAGATTTTGTGATCTCTCATGTAACCGTTAGTCTCTTCTCTTTTACACTTGCCTTTGACCATATATCCTACGCGGGATCTTACGTTACCTTGGACTTTCCTTCTGCTATTTTGCTTAACACGTTAATTCTGGTTTCGGTGATGGTTTCTTTCAGCCACCAAAATCGACCTTTTTTGTCACCGGTCACCAAAAACCAATATGAATCCACTCGGCCTACATAACCATCACGAGTTGTCCTCAGGTTCTAAAAAACAATAGTAGACAACACCCAACACACAGACATGGTGCCTAGTGGAAAAATAATTCCCCTTGGTTGTCCCCGCAAGCAACTTAATGGTCCGAATGGCTACAAACTAAACTACAATATATGGATCCACATTTATGACAGGTTCTCAGTTTTCTCACAAAACCACTGATTGATGACTTCCTGGGTATCCCGAACATCATAGCGATTCTCAGTCACAAGACATTAAATATTTGTTGTGTGATGTTTTTGTAGACATCTATCACCAAATATCTTCCTAACGTACTCAGTGACATATGAAACATGTGTCTCTGCGGTACTAAACAGATCTTTGATGTGCGAGTCTCACCTAATAATGTAAAGCATAATATTGAAGAACAGTATACTCGTATGCTTGTAAATTGCTTATGACACATTAAAGCACTCATTTTTTGTTTTATCTATGAAACCAACACCTGGTCCCCAAGCGAATGATAGAGCTACTAATGTAAGGGCATAACTTAGCATTTGCATATAATTTATCTCTGGGTCTTCTCTTCATGTTCAGATTTGATAGCATCTCTTGCATCCTCATTCCTTGTTGTGGGGATGCAATTGATTTTTGCACCAAGGAGTACCTCTGGGACCTTGCTGATGGAATCCAGTTGTCTCGGCACGCTTTCATCAAATGGAGTTACAAAGGAGTGCACTAGATGTGTATAATGTTTTTATCCTTGACTTCTTTTAAGACCTTATAAACATTCTATATTGACGCTCCTAGTTCCCGAGAGACATGGGCAACCTTCTACCCATATCATTAGCGTGAGAAATGACATCAAGTAGAAGATTACATTTAGCGTTTAGTATTTTCTTGATTTATTGAGGTTGTAAGAGCTTTAAAGTAAATCAAACTAGGCCATCCTAATAAGTATATTTGAACTAGGACTACAACCACAAGTGCCATGCTCTACTTTATAATTTAATGTCCAAGCATTGACAACTGTGGATTGCATGACATGTCCAACACTTAACATATGGCATTGTATAATATGCCAAATAGTTAAAATGTCTGACAACTTACATCAAAACTTGTACTTTGCATGATGTCCAACCTTTACAACTGTGCAATGCACATGTATGATACGTCCAACCTTTACAACTGTGCAATGCACATATGTATGATACGTCCAACCTTTACAACTGTGCAATGCACATGTATGATACGTCCAACCTTTACAACTGTGCAATGCACATGTATGATACGTCCAACCTTTACAACTGTGCAATGCACATGTATGATACGTCCAACCTTTACAACTGTGCAATGCACATGTATGATACGTCCAACCTTTACAACTGTGCAATGCACATGTATGATACGTCCAACCTTTACAACTGTCCAATGCACATGTATGATACGTCCAACCTTTACAACTGTGCAATGCACATGTATGATACGTCCAACCTTTACAACTGTGCAATGCACATGTATGATACGTCCAACCTTTACAACTGTGCAATGCACATGTATGATACATCCAACCTTTACAACTGTGCAATGCACATGTATGATACGTCCAACCTTTACAACTGTGCAATGCACATGTATGATACGTCCAACCTTTACAACTGTGCAATGCACATGTATGATACGTCCAACCTTTACAACTGTGCAATGCACATGTATGATACGTCCAACCTTTACAACTGTGCAATGCACATGTATGATACGTCCAACCTTTACAACTGTGCAATGCACATGTATGATACGTCCAACCTTTACAACTGTGCAATGCACATGTATGATACGTCCAACCTTTACAACTGTGCAATGCACATGTATGATACGTCCAACCTTTACAACTGTGCAATGCACATGTATGATACGTCCAACCTTTACAACTGTGCAATGCACATGTATGATACGTCCAACCTTTACAACTGTGCAATGCACATGTATGATACGTCCAACACTTTACAACTGTGCAATGCACATGTATGATACGTCCAACCTTTACAATTTTGCAATGCACATGTATGATACGTCCAACCTTTACAATTTTGCAATGCACATGTATGATACGTCCAACCTTTACAACTGTGCAATGCACATGTATGATACGTCCAACCTTTACAACTGTGCAATGCACATGTATGATACGTCCAACCTTTACAACTGTGCAATGCACATGTATGATACGTCCAACCTTTACAACTGTGCAATGCACATGTATGATACGTCCAACCTTTACAACTGTGCAATGCACATGTATGATACGTCCAACCTTTACAACTGTGCAATGCACATGTATGATACGTCCAACCATTACAATTTTGCATTGTTTGATATGTCCAACACTTTGGAATTGTGCATTTAAATATTCAACATTACAACAGCATGTATGATGTATAGCAACCTTTTACAACAATGCATTTTATTATTGTATGATTCAATAACAAAAATCACTGTGCTTCTTTTTATTCAGAGTGGCCCTTAAAAAATGCGAAAAAAGTTAAGAGTGACGTCATATATCAGAAAGATTGCCACACGTCTCTGCTCTAAAAATAAATCAAAAAGCACTTCCAAAATGTAATCAAATGGTCAGATCCTCAAGGGTATTTAGTAACGTGTTATGTGCAGCATTAGTCAACGATGTGTAGGGACTTACCTTATCTTTCCCCAACCCTGGAAAGATCAGGCATGTTCCCTCCCAATAAAGTCCTATCGCATTACAGAATCAGCAAACAATCTTAACCGTTGGGAAATCAAGGAAATTAAACATTTTGTCTGTTCTAATGATAGCAAACAGAACTAACGTGATAGTGTTCAATATATTTGATGAGGCTCATGCAATCCAAAGGTTGAATCATTTAGATTTCACGTTTCAAGTTACTTTGAGATTGAACTTTCTTCCTTACTCATAACAACTATCTTCATTATTTGTATGTGAGATGGAAAATCATAATAAGTCCATCGTCTCACATACTTTTGGTTCCTGTACTATGTCTGCCAAGATCACTCTACCCAAATTACCACATTTGCGATGACTAACTGTAAGGGTACAGGCTCATATATCGAATTAATCGGTTCAAGGTCAACTGCAACCTTAAGTTTATTAGTCATTTAGGTCGTGAGTCTTTTAGGTCAAGGTCGCCTGAAAAATGAGTGCGTACGTTTCGCAACAATGCTTGCTGAAGATCATGGTCATTATATTTTTGGCAGGTGATGTTTCCAGACCTTTGCATGAATGCACTGTGGTTTATATCTGGGTAACAAGGGACTGAATGACCAATGCCACATTACGGCTATTCCATTGTAAATCTGCTTCTAGTACTAATTCATTATAGTCTAAAAGTCATTGGAATTGACAAATAAGTAATTTATTGTTTCTTTTTCATCTTTATAGAGTATGATTAATGATTATATACCTGACATGATTCCCCAGGTTTACAATTTCTTTTAGTTGCCTTGTAGTTCTTGGAAGGATCTTCCTGACAATCATCAGCCAAACACTGCCAACATTGCAGGCCAAGGCACGTACCTGAAACATACAATAAAACACTGCCAACATTGCAGGCCAAGGCACATACCTGAAACATACAATAAAACACTGCCAACATTGCAGGCCAAGGCACATACCTGAAACATACAATAAAACACTGCCAACATTGCAGGCCAAGGCACATACCTTAAACATACAATAAAACACTGCCAACATTGCAGGCCAAGGCACATACCTGAAACATACAATGAAACACTGCCAACATTGCAGGCCAAGGCACGTACCTGAAACATACAATAAAACACTGCCAACATTGCAGGCCAAGGCACATACCTGAAACATACAATAAAACACTGCCAACATTGCAGGCCGAGGCACGTACCTGAAACATACAATAAAACACTGCCAACATTGCAGGTCAAGGCACATACCTGAAACATACAATAAAACACGGCATTGGTGAATACGTTGAATTTCGGATACAAATAGAGAGGTTATGTTATACGTTTTAAGAGAACTTGTACGATAATGTTTGATATCATGACCCCTAAGGGAGTATTGTTCTCCTCTATCTTAATTGTTTTTCCCAGTGGCCTAACTACAATTATTTTCCTTATATAAACCTTTGAATTCAATTGGGCAAGTAAATACTACGAAAGGGCAAACTCATCATGAGAAATCATGGGCTTCTATTAGCTTCACACTAGTATGATATTTCAGGTTGAAGGCAGAAGGATGTGATGAGTATTAGAATGGGGCGAACTTATCAGGACCATAATTCTCAAACGCATGTAACCTCCCCATTGTAATATTTGCATTAGCTTGTCACCACGCTAGGTTACCCTGACTACTTATTGTAAAATGTGACTCAAAGACATGTCGATCTGCAGCTTCAAAAGACATACGTGATTAAGGTTTATCATCTAACCGCACAAAAAGCCGTTGAGGTGTTTGAAAAGAAGATGGACATGTTGACAAAACATAATTATTTCATAATGATATATTATCTTGACGGATGTCTGGTGAGTGATAGGATTGCCAACGTATCCGTCTTGTGGAATACTGTGTGATTTTCTTAATAGAAAATTACACACCCATGCATGAAATATACGTAATCACACCTTTATTTTGTCAATACACTCATCAATTAGATGAATTAGGATCATAATACTTTACCAAATAAACTGATTAATTTGCTAATTCGATCATGAATGGCTTAGGCCTCGTTCAGATCTTAGACAGAATTAAGTGCAATAAGGTTGAGATATCTAATTATCCAGGCTTTCATAACTCAATCAACAGAATCTAAGACTTTATTAATTCTATAGAAATATCAGTTTATCAACAGATATTATCTGTTTCGTATCCGGGTAACATATTTCATAGTTTGTAAGTTCTATGTCTTCCTTCCGTTTTGTACATAAGATTACTCAAGATTTTCTTGATTAATTGTTTTTTGCAAAAAGGTATTCGCTACAATAGTAAACATATTCAAGGAAGCAAACAAGAAAAATTAAGTTGTGATATATTATAGCAATTTTCTTTATGGTACACCAAGCATGTCATCCATAAAAACAAGCCATGTGTATAAAATGTCACTGTGGTGATGATTATTTCTTACTTTATGCAATTTTTCTTTCACTGGATATTTTGTTTATTTGGGCAATTCAAACTGGTAGTGACATTCTTTATTGTCTTGAAGACTTATTTCATCAAATCATAACAAGCATTTTAGGATCCGCATATTTGCGCATAATGTTTTATGATTTCCATAATATCCATTGACCCCTGACAATGACTAAGTTAACACTCCAGAGGCCGTTCGAATTCGAACGATCTGTGATCCGATCCGGATAAATTTCGTCATCATCCGAACATTGGTGAATTTGTACAATCTTTGGGATTTTTATCCAAATCTCAGTTCACTTACGTAGGTGGATTGATTTTCGGATAAATTTTATCCGAATTACATTATAATTTGGATAAATCTTGGGGATTCCCCCAAAATCCTTGGATCGTACGAATTCACCAAATATCAATCCGGATCATTAATCCAAAAAGATCCGGATCCTGATAAATTCTTGGATCGTACGAATCCATGGCCCCAGGATATATTTTTACATAGATCCCATGATCCCATTCCATTTTTGATTCTTAATATAACAAATAAAGACATCTGAGAGAGCAATAATGAATCTTGTTATTCTCTTCATACTAGAAAATTGTCATCTTATTATTCTTATCAGTGAAATCAAATCAAAGCAATATTTCCTAATGCCCAAATGAGGTGATACCAGTACAAATTATGACCGATGGTCCAAATTCTTTGCACTTTAATGCTAAACTATTGGATTGAAGTATTAATAAGAGAAAAATAACAAAGATTGATCGCAAGTTAACTCCCATGATGCACATTGTAGATATGAAGTGCATTTACTTTGTTTGTCTTATTGGTTTCTTACTAATATACTATAGTATATTAGTATATAATAAAGGTCTTCTATAACAACCCCTGTATTAATTCTTTGTTTATGACAGGTACGAATTACGAAAAATTGCATTTACATGGTTATTACCACACGTATTTTGCAGTCATCCAAATACGTATGATGAGTGATCGTTATCAAAAATGGCCGTTATCATGTAACATCTCTTATTATTCCTTAGCGTGTCATCCCAATAAAATACCATAGCCGTAGGCAGCGGGGGTTCGGTGGGTTCGAACGAAATTTGAAAAATGAAATTTTGAGGCCCATTTTCTTCAAAATTTGGCCTGAAATTAAAAAATAAGGCCTTAAAAGGCCCAGTAATGACCTAAAAGGCCCACTTTTTGGGGTCTCAAGGCCTTTTTTGGCCAAAAAATTTTTTTGGGCCCAATTTTTTTTTTCTGGGCCCACCCAAGGGGGGGGGGGGCCGGGCCCCCAGGCCCCCCCCCCCCCCTAATCCGCCAGTGCGAGAGCCTCATTTTGTTAAAAATATGTCATAGTGAAGTTACACTTCCCTCAAAACTTTTGGCAACCTTAGGCACGGAGTGAGATTTAATTTTGGGAAGACCCCAGAGCATGAGATTTTACATTTAGAAATAACAATATAATTTTGCACAATTAACTTAAAAGCTGTTTCTTCTTGGACAAAATAACCCATCTTAGGGAATGGCTAAATCACAAGCCAATCAAATTTATTCATTCTTTCATTCGTTCAGTATTTATTTACCCATCACTTTTGCAAAGAAAATAAATCATTGCAAAAAAATGATTTTGTTTTTTTCAGATACACTCCACTCATCTAAGAAATTGTATAGAATTCAAATTGTTATCGTTCCAGTTTACTTACCACTGAGCTCCGGGGACGTCCAAAGAAATATTTTTAACTTTTTAAAACAAAGCATAACAGAGACCCGTTTATTTGAATAATACATATTTTCATCAGTAATACAACTATCCCGGATAGTTTAAAAAGCCTTCGAGTAAACGTTGTGAAAAGTTATCATAGAAGAAAGATCTTTCGGTGTATAGGGTGTTTGCGCCAATTTCAATAACCTTGCATTTGATCCGAACTGGCTTCCAACAAAATTCCTGAAAAAGAATGATAAGCCATTGCATGAAGTGATTTATTTTGTCCTAGATGAAGTAGCTTAAGTTAAAGAATAAATTGTGCGAAGTAGTTGATATTCCTTGGAAACAAATCATGATCCAGGGTCTTCCAGAAATCAGACGAAATAATGGTGGATTCGGGGCAAATCAGATTTCAGGATACATAGTCAGTAAAAGATTCACCGAAATATATTTTGATGCAGAAAATTAATTGTAACGTAAATAAAGACATCATTTTTGTTAAATAAAATTCAAATTCAATTGTCTATGTAATGACCCGAGGGCGCCCCAGGGGTATGACTAACTAATGACTATAACGAGCATAGTGTAACAAGCCAGATAAAGAAGAGTAATAAAATAAAAGTAGAGCATCAGTCTTTGGATCCAAGGGTCCTAGGTTCGATTCCCACACGGGGTATTGAATTTAGCACACTTTTTTTCAATTTCTTTATCTGGCTTGTTACACTATGCTCGTTAGTTGTTAGTTAATTATTTATTCCCCTGGGGCGCCCTCGGGTCATTACATCTACTTAACTTAATGAAGGTATTAAAATGAATTATATTTCCCTTCCCAAAATAGTTTTTTCTTTATAAGAATTCAAACTTAAAGATGCTTTAATACATAATCCAATGGGTTAGTTAGGATTGCCAAACTTTTGGAGGGAGTGTAATTGTACAAATTGCATTATTTGAGGAACCCTAATGAAGGGGGGGGGGGATTTGTGAATAACATAAAAATAGAACCCCCGGTCACCAAATCCTGGCTACGCCACTGAAATACCATAATAAAAACGTTATCTCTAATTCCCTGTGAAACATATTGATCACACGAAATGGATCATGACTTTCTTGACTTGCTTACTCTAATTGATTTAGGAGAAATACCCATTCAAATATACTCATTTCCAAGTGTATCTACAACATTTTATGGATTATAAGAGTCATCAATAATTCCTGGCTCATTCTTGATACTTGATACATGTATATTCCTGCCAAAGAATTAATTTCTATTTATAAAGGTCGTAGCATTTTTTCGTAAATCTTGATGAAGGGCTTGACCGTTTTAATGTCAGCGTACATACGTGTTTATCATCCACTTCAATACCTTCCTTAATCACTGAGACACATTCCGGGTGCAAAACGGACCTGTCAATTAACCGATGTTCCACATCATTTGAAAGCAAATGATCCACTCGAAATATGATGTCAGCATTCTATCAACTTATTCTTCACTACACGTATTGTAATTAATCCAGTATGATTGAAATGTCTCATGGCCTATTATATTCATGCTCATTCATGCTCTATGATGAAAATATAAAAACCTTTCAAATTAGAGCATTTTCCGCGAACTTATTGAACGGCCTGATATATATATATATACACTGTATATATGAAATCCATAGAATCATGATCGGTAATGGTGTAAAAATGTGAACCAAAGGAAGGTAAAGAGTATTCCAGAAAAAGAAACATCTAATAACACATACAAAGGAAAACAAATCCCCACAATCTCAAACTATGTCGATATACAAAGAAACAATGCTGCGTCCACCGCCTCCCTCCTCCCATCGGGTATTACAACATCGAGAT